TATTAATTTTTCTAACCAGTATCCGAAGACTCCGTTTATTGGATGCTGTTGAAAGTCAAATGTTTTATGTGGAAGCTAATGAAGCCGATTTATGGATGAAAGAAAAATATACAATATTCACATCAAATGACAATGGAAAAGATGAAGATTCGGTACAATCATTGCAGAAAAAACTAGATGCTATTCAAAGAGAATTAAATACTTTTGGAAATTCAATTGACAAAGTCGAAAAACTAGCTTCGGGATTAATTGAAAGAAAACATTTTGATAGTGAAAATATCAAAAATAAAAACGACGCAATTCAAAGTTTATATGAAGAATTGAAAAAATTAGGGAAACAACGTGAAATACGGTTAATTGAAAGTAAAAAGCTGTACAAATTTTTACGTGAAATTGAAGAAGTACACGAATGGATTGCTGATCAAATGGCTGTAACGGCTTCCGAAGACTATGGTGAAGATGTAGAGCATATAGAACAATTAATAGTGTCATTTGAATCATTCGTTTTGAATTTGACAGCGAATGAAAATAGAATCAGTTTTGCAGTAGAAAAGGGTGAAAAATTACTATCCGAAAATAATCTGTACGCTACAACTATTAAAACAAAGGTAGCAGAAACTACTCAATTGTGGGAGGAATTGAAAGAATTGGTTAATGCCCGACAAGAAGCACTCGCTGGAGCAAAACAGGTTTGTCAAATTTTGTGATATGTTTAAAGATTTAAATTACTTATTAGTCAACCGATATTTTATTTCTTTAGATTTGAAGTTAACTACTTGTTATTACTTGATACTTGATTTGTTTACTTTAACTAGGTTCATGTATATGATCGACGGGCTGATGAAACTATTTCCTGGATTGGTGAAAAAGATACAGCCCTTTCAACAGAAGATTACGGTCAAGATTTGGAAACAATTCAAGCCCTTGTTCGGAAACATGAAATTTTCGAAACTGAGTTGGGAGCTGTAAAAGAACAAGTTGATGCTGTTGCTGAAGAGGCAAAACGCTTAGCAGAGATATATCCGGATGCAAAAGAGCATATTGAAGTTAAGAGAGATGAAACTAATGAAATGTGGACAGAGCTGCTAGAGAAAACATCGGCCCGAAAGGAGAAACTCAAACAAGCTGAACAGCTTCAAGCATACTTCGATGAATATCGTGACCTAATGGCTTGGATAAATGAAATGATTGCTAAAATAACAGCCCCAGATTTGGCAATGAATAATGTTGATGCAGCTGAAGCACTTTTGGCTCGGATTAAAGAGCATCGAACAGAAATTGACTCACGAAATGATGGATTCGAGAATTTCTATGCAAACGGACACCGTATAATTAATGAAAAACATTTCTTATCGTATGAAATTCAAGACAAAATCAATGTTTTAAAGCAGCGCTACGAATTATTAGAAAATACGTTACGAAAACGTCATGAAATTTATGAATTGAATTTGGACACACAACTTTTCTTACGCGAGGCTCAAGTATTAGAAGGTTGGATATATAGCCGTGAGCCACAGTTAAAAGATCATAAAATGGGTGACAGTATTGTGCAAGTTGAAGAACTAATAAGACGTCATGAAGATTTTGAAAAGACAGTAGACGCACAAGAAGATAAGTTCCAAGCATTGAAACGTATAACTTTGGTAAGAAAATAAATTATATTGGGTGTAGGCATTAATTTCCGGATTTTTTTGGTGAAAATGAATGCTTTACTTAAATAAAATTAAAAGAAAATGTCATTCAAAGTATTGTCCATCGCTAGCCACTACTTTTGTCCATATTTTAGTCAAAAGACGAAAATCGGGTCGAAATGACTCTTCGTCCTTTGAGGTCATGTATTCATCGACCCTTTGTTTGACTATTCCATAAATATAGAGCTGCCAATCAGACACACGACGTTTAATCAATCCAAGTGGGTACAATTTGGAAAGGGCACTGTCCATTGACCATGCGGGGGAGGAAAAGATGTTTCTCTCCAACTGCGTTTATCTTATTCTGGACCAGGTGTGCAAAAAAACAGAGAAAATGTGCTCTTCAAAAATTGCCAATTTTTTGATCTTGGAATTTTTTCGTTTCTTTTACTTTCGGAATGGACTCAAATCGACTAATTATTATTGGCAGAGACCATTTCTATCATTGCAGATAAGTTTCAGCATTTTTTGATGCACAGTATCCTTTCGATTGAACCGAATATTGAAAAAGGCCCCAAAATTGGGGGGTAGTTGCCCCCAGCCGATTTTTTATGGTTGGATTGAATCGATTTTTTTTTTTTGCTCTAAGCTATTGAAAAAGGTCCATTCTACACTATCAGTGACAATACTGTGCTTGAATAACTTTTTTATCCATTTTGTGGCATTATCATTTTTGCTCCCCGCGAATTATGTTTTTTTTTCTCCAACTTTCAAAATTTTCCATCGTTGAAAAAAAATATGATGCGCACAAACAAATGAAACACTATTGACTGATTTTGACAGTATTTGAATAGGCCTTTCAAATGACGTATCTGTCATTGATCTACTACAATGCACAAGCACGTTATGACATCTGTTTTCGGATTCCGGAAATTAATGTCTTCACCCAATATTAAAAAAAATATCAGCATCTAATGAAATTTTTGGTCTTTTCTCATAGCTGGAAAGTTTATTCAAAAAACAAAAAGAAGATGAGTTGGCGGCAAAACGAGCTGAAAAAGAACGAATTGAGAAAGAACGTCTAGAGACAATAAAACAAAAGGAAGTTCAGCGTATAACGGAAGAACGTCGAAGAAATGATAAATCGAACATTACGCATAATTTATCATTAGATGCAGATGATACATACAAAGTTATGCCAATTCCATTACAACAATCAGCTTCTCATGGCTCAGTTGCCACTACGAACAATACAAACAACAGCCATAATGCTGTCCAAAAATCTAGTTCTATTGTGAATTTGTTTGGAGATCGTTTACGACGTGGTTCCGATTCAGGGAGTGTTAAGCGTGCTGAAAGTATGAAAATTGGTCCAAAAATTCCAAAACGAACCCCTTCGTTTACAACACGTCGAAGAGCACAGAGCTTCCGAAAAAATCAACATGCTGATCAATTCGATTTGCCACCGGTTGAAATTCAAGGGCATTTAGAACGAAAACACGAATTACAATCAGGCGGAAAGAAAGCACCTGTACGATCATGGAAACCACTTTACACAGTATTGTGTGGCCAATTGCTTTGTTTTTTCAAAGATGAGGAAGATTTCTTTCAAAAAAAAGCGGCTGCATCTCCGGTTAATATATTAAAATCTCGATGTGAAAAAGCAGAAGATTATACAAAGAAGAAAAATGTTTTCCGACTACATTTACCTGATGGGTCAGAATTTTTGTTTTTAACTGCAAATGAAGATGAATGTTCGGACTGGATAAATAAAATATCTTTTCATGCATCATTACCGCCAAACTTACAACTAACTCCATATCAGGTAAAGGTATTTTATATATATTATTATCTCAATGTATTTATAATAACATTATTATTATGCAATATATTATATCTATACGTTAACGGAACAAACAAATGCAAATTCACCTATTACCAGAAACAAATTCACAGTCAAATTTGAGGTTGGACTTGTGTGTGCAATGAAAGGAAAAGAGAGAGAAAGAGAAAAAAAATCAGTTGAAAATCTGACATGGATCAACATAAATAAATTATTCAATATGCTCAGTACTCACCTATACGGGTCCCTTACCTCCGTACTATACTTGCACCGCTACAAAACATACAACAAGGCCACAAAATAGTCAAGCCTAGATATGCTAATTAATCGATTTCAATGGTGCCGTTTGTCAGTTGTTTTTTTTTTTTTTTGCATTCAGTACATTCAGTGCATTCTCTACAGATCTACTCGAATCAGGCACTAGTACGTCAAACATTCGACAAACTACTGTGAACAAAAACAATGAACAAAATCTATTATTCAGCAGAAATTATTGAAATATTAATAAATTTTTGTAGGTAACTTCAACCTTGACACCTGATAGTAACCACTGCAAATAATTATTGCACGTTCTATTTGCAAATCACGTTTGCTTACAGTATTTATAATTATATCCGGTAGTCCAGGAATCGGTTTCGCTTTGAAATCGTAGTACACTTTAAATCCTTTTGTGTTTACAGGAAATCGTTCTTGGCGATTCGCTCATGTGAATGGTTAAGAATGATAATGAAACTTAATTTTTGTTCAAACTGGAGTGTCCCGCAGAATTATTTCAAATGAAAGTGTCCCGAATATTTGTTTCAAACTAAAATGTCCCTACAAAAAAGATTCATGCAAATTTTCCTAAGTGCCATTTTCATTTGCAATAAATTTGAGGAACACTTCGATTGTAAACTTTTTTTTGAGTCCTATTCATAGGAATTTG